CATGCTGTCCTCCTCCTCCTCCTCTCCTCCTCCTCCTCCCTCCTCGTCCTCTTCCTCCTCCTCCTCGCTTCCTCCTTCTCTTCCTCCTCCTCCTCCTCCTCCTCCTCCTCCTCCTCCTCCTCCTCCTCCTCCTTGGGAGTGCTGAAACCAGCAAATCGCCTGAGACATCCTCCCAAAACTGCTCCGAAAACGACAGATGCCCAGCATCATAACGGCCAAACCGCCTGAGACATCCCCGCAAACTGGGCGCGAACGTCCTCCAAACTGTTCCGAAAGCGAAACATGTTGGAAGAGAAAATGGCCAAACCGCCTGAGACATCCCCACAAAATCCCGCGAAAGGGGCCGAGTGAAATACCCCCCCGCCGCTCCCCTTAGAGTGCTGAAACCAGCGAATCGCCTGAGACATCCTCCAAATCTGCTCCGAAAGCGAAACATGTTGGAAGAGAAAATGGCCAAACCGCCTGAGACATCCCCACAAAATCCCGCGAAAGGGGCCAAGTGAAATACCCCCCCGCCGCTCCCCCTAGAGTGCTGAAACCAGCGAATCGCCTGAGACATCCTCCAAATTTGCTCCGAAAGCGAAACATGTTGGAAGAGAAAATGGCCAAACCGCCTGAGACATCCCCACAACATCCCGCGAAAGGGGCCGAGTGAAATACCCCCCCGCCGCTCCCCTTAGGAGTGCTGAAACCAGCGAATCGCCTGAGACATCCTCCAAATCTGCTCCGAAAGCGAAACATGTTGGAAGAGAAAATGGAGGACGGAGGAGGACGGAGGATAGAGGAGAGGAGGAGGAGGAGGAGGAGGAGGAGGAGGAGGATGTGGCGCGTAGGCAGGAGGATGAGGGGGAGAAAAAGGACGCGTACGAACAGCAACAGCAGGAATTGGAGCGGAAGGAGCGGGAGGAACAGGAGGACCAGGGGCAGGCGGAGGAGGGGAAATGAAGGGACTACGACGATGACAGGAAAGACAACGATGAAGAACGACTCGGATTCAGAAAAGTGGCCCGTGCTGGGGCGAGAGCGCCACTCTGTTTTGCAGGAGCAAGCGCCGATCTGAAAACGATGCCTACGCTGCAGCGGGAGCACCATTTTGAAGCACCGGAGGCAACTGGATTGTGAAACACAACAGAAACATTTTTCGAAATCCTGTGTGGATCCCAAAACAGCACGCGGAGAGTGTCAAACATCTTCTGGACGGACTCCGGGGGGAGAGGAGAACAGTATTCCTCTCGCTTCGCGGGGTGCACGTCCGGAGCACGTACAGTCACGTCGTCGCGGAGCCTCTTGGGAGCCTCTTGGGGGCCTCCTGGAGGCCTCCTGGGAGCTTCCTTGGGCCTCTTGGGGACTTTTTGGGGGCCTCTCCCCCTTCACTCCTTTTCATACTCCCTCCCCATATTTCTTTCCAGCGCCGGCTCTAATCATGGGCGCCGCTGTGACCAACTTCCACCTGGCTGGCGCTGCGCCGCAGTTCGCGCAGGGTGGAAAAATGACATTACACTCCAGTCGCTGTGTGGCCTTTGGGGGGCTTCTTTGGAGCCTTCGGAGGCTTCTTGAGGACATCTTGGAGGCCTCTTCGGGTTTTTTGGGGGCCCCTTGGGGGCCTCTTGGGTGCCTCTTGGGGCCTCTTGGGGGCGCCTTTGGCTGTATTGGGGCGCTTTTGCGCCGTTTCGCCCCTTCGGAGGCCGTCTTGGGGGCCTCTCGCGGCCGCCTTGGGGCCGTCTTGGGGTCTTCTTGGGCCGTCATAAGGGCCTCTCGGACCGTCTTGGGGGCCTCTTTGGGCCGTTTTGGGGTTCTGTTGGGCAGTATTGGGGCCCTCTTGGGGGCTTCTTGGGTTGTTCAGGAGCGAGTTGGGAAGCGGCCTGGACCGCAAAGGCGAGAACGCTAAAATCTTACCAAACCAAAAGGAAGTCAATGATTTGGGCTTCTGGAGGCGCAGTTGTGGGCGCTCTTGGGGCCCTCTTGGGCCGTCAGTGGGGCTTGTTGGGCCCTCTTGGGGCCGTCTTAGACCGTCTCGGGGCTGTCTTGGTCCGCGCAGAGCCCATCTGGAGCCGTCTTGGCACCCTCTTGGCCCTCCAAGCCCAAGAAGTCGAAATCATGGATTTTCCATCGGTTTTGGTAGGTTTTTGAGCCCCGGGAGGGGGGGGGGGGGGCACTTTGGTTTGCTCCTGTGGCGCAGCTCCCAGAGGGGGGGGTAGGGGGGAGACATAATTAATAACACAATGCGAGATGTGGCAACTATGCAATCATTGGATACATTGGGTACGTTGCATTATCGCCTCCGCAGAAAACTCTGCAGGGTGTTTCAGAGCACGTTCAGTCCAGTCGTTGTGGGGCCTCCTGGGAGTCTCTTGGGAGCTTCTTGGAAGCTTCTTAGGGTTTTTTTTGAGCCTCTGGGGGGCCTCTTTGGAGCCTCTTGGGGCTTCTTGGGGACGTTTTGGGCCGTCTTTGGGCGCTCTTACGCCGTCTGGCCACTTCGGAGGCCACTTTGGAAGCCTCTCGCGGCGCCTTGGGGCTCTCTTGGGGTCCTCTGGGGCCGTATCGGGTCTTTTTGGGCCGTCTTGAGGGTTTTTTTTGCCGTTTCGGGGCCCTCTTGGGCCGTGTTGGGGCCCCCTTGGAGGCCTCTTGGGCCGTTTGGAGGCCTTTTTGGAGGCTGCTTGGGCCGTCATGGCCTTCTGAGAGCCAAAAAAGGCGAAAACGTTGAAATTGTCCCAAAACTATCAGAGAATCAAAGGTTTTGGCCTCCGGAGGCGCTCTCGGGAGTCTTCTTGGGGGCCTCTTGGACTTTCTTGGGGGCCTCATGGGCCCTCTTGGGGCCATCTTGGGCCGTCTTGAGGCCGTCTTGGGCTGTCTGGGGGCCATCTTGGGCCGTCTTGAAACTTTCTTGGGGCCCCAAGAGGCCCAAGAGGCCGAATTTGTTGATTTCTCATAGGTTTTTGATGTTTTTGAAGCCCAGAAGGGGTCCGCCACCTTTGGGTCGACGGAAGTGGCGTGGCCCCTGGGGGGGGTTAGGGGGGGAGACATAATAATGTAACACAATACAATACGTTGCAATTATGCAATCATTGGACACATTGGATACGTTGCATTATCGCCTCCGCAGAAAACGCTGCCGCTCAGCACGTCACCTCCGGACGTGGATTCTACAGGCTTGCGCCACATCCGCCGGTCCCTATATCTACGTAATGGCCTTCGGCCCATCCCGCCGCCGTGCCGGGTTGTGGGTCATAGGCCTCTGGGATGTTCGTTGGGGTCTCGTGGGAAGCCTCTCGGGAGCCTCCTAGAGGCAGTTTTGATGCCTCTGGGGATCGTTTTGGGGCCTCGTTTAGGCATCTGGGGAGCCTCTTGAGGCCTCTTGGGGGGCCTCTTGGGGGCCTCCTCGGGGCTTCTTGGGGCCGGAGGCTCGGATTTTCGGTTCGCGTTCCCCTTCTTGGGCCCCTCTTGAGGCTGTCTGGGGGCCCTCGTGGGCCGTCTTGTGCGCCTCTTGGGCCGTCTTGGGCGCCTTGTGGGGCCGTCTTGGGGCCCACTTGGAGGCTTCTTGGGCCGTCTTGGAGTGGTCTTGGAGGCTTCTAGGGACGTTATAGAGCGGCGGAAGGCCGAAAAGGCGAGAATACCAAAATCCCCCACTGATTGTTTCAGAACATTTATGATTTGGCCTCTTGGAAGTGCTCTTGGAGGGCTCTTCAGCCGTCTTGGGGCTATTTTGGGCGTCTTGGAGCGATCTTTCAGAGACTCGGGGCCTTCTTGAACCGTCTTGGGTGCGTCTTGGGGCCCTCTTGGGTCGTCGGGGGACCCTTAATCCCCCTAGGCCTGGGGGGGGGGTCAAATTCCCAGTTTGGGGGCCCCTGGGGGGTGGGGGAGAAAGAGTTTTTGGAGGGGAATCTCACGCGCCCAGAGACCCACGAGGGGTCGGCGGATCTGCGAAATCCTTGGAAGTGCGTTCACGCGCCCGCGACCGCCGCTAAACAGGTAGACAAGATGTTCGCGCTCGCGGGCCAGGCGCTAAACGGTAGGTGATGTCGCATGCGAGGTAACCTCTTTTGTCTCCTCTCCACATCCTCCCAGCAGCTTGGCAGCGTGCAGCTAAACATCTGTTCAACTTTTGTGTTTAAACCAGCTGGAGGCGCAAAGTCCGGCCTCACTGAGAGGATCAGCTGGGATAAACATTGAGCAGTTGTTTGCATGGCTAATTTAACCTGTATATTCAGTCGGATCCGCAAAGGACGGCCTCACTGAGAGGATCGACTGTTTAAACGCAGATTTTAAACAGTTGAATTCGTTTCGCTTTTAACCCTTCGCTGTACGCTGCGCACTGGCGAAAGCGGTCTGGGTACATGCCCTAACGTCCTGCTCTTCCTCTTTCTCCTCTCGTTCCTCTTCGTCTCACTCCTCGACGACGACGACAACATCGACGGACTACGACGACGACGTCGACGACGACGACGACGGGCGACGGACGACGGACGACGGACGACGGACGACGGACGACGGACGACGGACGACGGACGACGACGACGACGACGACGACGACGACGACGACGACGACGACGACGACGACGACGGACGACGGACGACGGACGACGGACGACGGACGACGGACGACGGACGACGGACGACGACGACGACGACGACGACTACGACGACGAAGTCCAGCGGCCTGGCGGTTTGATGGCGTCGCCGCGCCGGTCGGCCGAGCTGCACGCAGCGGCTCCGAGGGGCCCCAGGGGGCACAGAAGCTGCCTCCGGCCGCCCTCTCCCTCCTCGTTCGTCGTCGTCGTCGTCGTCCTCCTCGTTCTCCTTGTCGTCCTCCTCGTTCTCCTCCCCGTCCTCCTCCTCGTTCTCCTCGTCGTCGTCCTCCTCGTTCTCCTCGTCGTCCTCCTCCTCGTCGTCCTCCTCCTCTTCCTCCTCCTCCTCCTCCTTCGAGTTTTCTATCCGACTCGATGACGTACCAAGAGAATGAGATGCACATATGGGGATCCAAAGAGATGGGGTTCTTGTTATTGGCGGACCGCGCCGAGGGAACAGAGAGTTGATCTGTTTGCATAGGTGTGGACCAGGCCGTGGAGATGATTTCACAACTTGCCCATCGGCTTGCAGCGTCTGGTATGAAGTCGAAGCGTAAGGAGAGCAAGATGATGCCAGGCATGGGATTGGGGCCATCGCCGTCCTATGTTCTCTGCCAGCCATCCGGGCAGGAAGCGATGGAAATTCTTTTGGTGACCGAGACGGGTCTCCTGGGAACACGCTTCGATGCAGCAGCGTGCAGCGGTTTTGCAGCGCGGTTCTTCAAAATTGGCCGAGGTGGGTTTGCGTTGAGTTGGGCCTGTTGCACGCCAGTCACCGACGATCCGACGGCGCAGTTTCTGGCGGCTGGTCATCGGGCGCCTCGGTATCCCGAGAGGCGGCTGGGTCCTGGAGAATGGTCGAGGGTCGCGTCGAAGAGGCAGTCGCTAAACTAAAAGCGAGCAGGAGTGCATAAGAAGGACTGAAGGAAGGAGGGGCATGGGAACGTGGCCACTGCGTTGTTGGTTCAAGCTTCCGCAGTTGGTTGCAACTGGGAAGTCGCTGGCGACCCCGCCCTCTGCAAGCATCGAGATGGGTTGCTGCATGGCGTCCTACCGGTCGCAGGCTGGGGCATTGCCAGCTCGCCGGGGGGAGGAGGGTGGAGGGGGGGGAGGAGGAGGGGAGGAGGAGGAGGAGGAGGAGCAGGAACAAGAGGATGAGGAGGAGGAGGAGGAGGAGGAGGAGTAGGAGGAGGAGGGGGAGGAGGAAAAGGAGAAGGAGGAGGGGAGGCAAGAACGAGAAAAAGAGGGGGTAGGGGACGGGAAGGTTGGACGATGAGGGGCAATTAGTCGGAAGAGAGATGCGAAAGAGGAGGAAGGAGGAAAGAGGAGGAAGGAGAAAAGAGGAGGATGAGGAGGACGAGGAGGAAGGGGGGGTGAGGAGGAGGGAGGAGGAGGGATTGGAGGCAATCTCCAGTTGACATCCCGCCCCCTGCCCCCTCCCCGCCTCCCGCCCTGCCCCCCCTCCTTGATCCTGACCCCCACGACAATTTCACAACATGAATACTACTCTCCTGTCTCCCCTAATGACGTCCGGAAGATATTCGCCCACTCCTCTGCGCATTGTTTTCTACACACAGGATTCCCGGGAGTTGGGTTTTCGCTGGGGCTTTGGTGTCAAAATGCTGTTCCCGCTGAAGCGTTGGCCTCATTTTTGGGCTTCCGCTCGTTCCGAATCGCGCTCCCGCTGCAGCGGTGGCCTCATTTTCCGCGTTTCCGCTCGTTCCGATGCGTGCTCCCGCTGCAGATCTGGCCTCATTTCCGCGCTTCCACTCGTTCCGAGTCGTGTTCCCGCTGCAGCGCTGGCGACATTGTTTCCAGTGCCATGCCACGGCATGCAACGCAATGGTAAGCGGTGTTCCTGTACGATGCCACGCCTTCAGCTGCAATGCTAGGATATGCAGTGCTTGACTACGCAGTGTGACGCCATGCTATGCCATGCTACGTTTTGATCTTCAACGCCATGCTATGCCATGTTCTCTTCTGTGCCGCTGTGCGATGCCTCTTTTTGCGCTGCAATGCTTTGTTATGCAACTCTTCACTACACAACGCAACGCCATTCTATGCCATACTACGCTCTGCCGTGCTCTTCTACGCTCTGCTACGCCGTGCTCTACGATGCATCGCGCACCCTCGGGATCATTGCCCTGCTCGATAGCCGACAGTGCGAATAGAGAGGAGATCTGCGCCATGGCAAGGGATGGGAGGGACGGGTAGGACGTCAGAGATGACGCGAGCGCACCAAGCTTGCCCTCACCCCCCCTCCCCTCCTCCCGCCCCTCTTCCGCGCTCTCCCTCTTGTGGACTTATGGACCTCCGGCTGCCCGGGTCTGGGGTCCGGGGTCCGGGGTCCGGGGTCCGTGTCTGGGGTCCGGGGTCCGGGGTCCGAGGTCCGGGGTCCGGGGTCCGGGGTCCGGGGTCCTGGGGTCTGGGGTCCAGGGTCCGGGGTCCGGGGTCCGGGGTGCGGGGTCCGGGGGGCGGGCGGGGTGCGGGGTCCGGGGTCTGCGAGGTCCGGGGTCCGGGGTCCGGGGTCCGGGGTCCAGGGTCCGGGATCCTGGGGTCCGGGGTCCGGGGTCCGGGGGCCGGGTTGTGAGGTCCGGGGTCTGGGGTCCGGGGTCCGGGGTCCGGGTCCGGAGTCCGGGGTCCGGGTCGGGCGGGTCGGGTCGGGCGGGCGGACCCTGACGGGCGGGTCGGGCGGGCGGGCGAGACATTAAAATGGGCGACAGCATCGAACAGCACGCGCGCGCCTTCGGGCGGGGGTCGGGCGGGCGGGCGGACCCTAAGGGCGGGTCGGGTTGGGTCGGGCGGGCGGACCCTAACGGGCGGGTCGCGCGGGCGGCGGGCGGGACATTAAAGTGGGGGACATCATCGAGTAGCACGCGCGCCCCCTAACGGGCGGGGGTCGGGCGGGCGGGCGGACCCTAACGGGCGGGTCGGGTCCGGCGGGCGGACCATAACGGGCGGGTCGGGCGGGCGGGCGGGACATTAAAGTAGGAGGCATCATCGATTAGCACGCGCGCACCCCAACGGCCGGGGGTCGGGCGGGCGGGCGGACCCTAACGGGCGGATCGGGTCGGGCGGGCGGACCCTAACGGGCGGGTCGGGCGGGCGGACGGGACATTAAAGTGGGGGGCATCATCGAGTAGCACGCGCGCACCTGAAGGAGGGAGGGAGGGAGGGATGGTGGGAGGGAGGGGAGGGAGGAGGAGGAGAAGGAGGAGGAGGAGGGGGAGGAGGAGGATGAGGAGGAGGGCGGGCTCATCCACACCTTCTCGGCGCGGTGGTGAGTTGTCACGTCGCCAGATCGCGGATGAAGGGGGTCTGAGCTTGGAGGGGTCAGCATCTGCCTCGTCCTCGTCCTCGTCCTCCTCGTCCTCCTCGTGTGCCTTTCTGTCCCCCCCTCCTCTGAAGTCTTCGGCTAATTGATTTTCTCCTCGCGCCGAAGACTTTCCAGTTGTGTAGCCAACAGCCGGACTCCCAAGTTAGGTGAGGTGGTGGAGTTTCTGTGGAACTCACGTCATCCTGACCCCCGGCGCGTGAGGGAGTGGGCCCGCCCACCGCCCCCCTGTTCAATTTCCGGCGAGATTTGGCGAGTCCGGCGAGATCCGGCGAATCCGGCCAGCGAGATCTGGCGAATCCCGCCTCAACCTCATCCTGTGGCCTTCTTTGGTGGCCCCCTCAGCCCCCAGAGGCCCTGCCTCGCACGGCGCCCCCCCTGGGACACCTCCAGAGGGCCTCCAAGGGAGCTCGAGGGTGAGCGTCTTTTTGAAAAGGAGCCGCCCTCGACCTCATCCTGTGGCCTTCTATGGTTGCCCCCTCAGCCGCCAGAGGCCTCGGGCCCTGCCTCGCACGGCGCCCCTCCCTGGGACACCTCCCGGGGACTCCAAAGTGAGCTCAAGCGAAGACCACATTTTGAACAAGGAGCCGCCCTCAACCTCATCCTGTGGCCTTCTCTAGTTGCCCCCTCAGCCCCCAGACGGCCTCGCACGGCGCCCCTCCCTGGGACACCTCCGGAGAGCCTCAAAGGGAGCTCAAGCGAGAAGTCCATTTGAAAGAGCTCCCGCCCTTCAAGGCAAGGCCTCCCTTGAAGAATCACCCTTCGGGTTCTGATGGGCGTGCTGTTCGGGGCCGCCTTAGGTTCCATGTTATGTGGCAGGGTGTTGCCGTGCTGTGCCATGCCAGGTACTGTGCTGTGTGCGGTGCTGGGCGCCGTGCCGAGAGCCGTGCGTATGCCGTGTCCGCCCGCGTCCGAGGCGAGATCCCAAGTACCGGTCGCGCCTGCGCCAAGTCGGGCTGGCCTTGCCCTCGGGCCGGCCGGGGAGCGCGATATCCCCCCCCCGGCCGCGGAGCGCGGTCAAGGGAAGGGGACGTGGGCGGCGTTTTTCCGACAAACACACAAACATGGGCCTTTCACATGTGCGCGCCGACATAGGGCGCCGCATGTGCCTGGTCCAGCACGCGCGGTGCCCCCTGGGAGGGGTTGCGGTTTTGCCGGATTGTGAGGACGCTTCAGAGCGGAACGCCACTCCACATCCTTCCTGCTCCCCCACTCATTTCAATCCACGCCCCCCTTGGTGCACATATCACTCCGGTTTCTTCGGTGCTCACTGCAGTACTGGATGGATGTCGCGCCCCCCCGCCGCCGCCATTTTGAACTGATTCTGGGCAGCGGGCCCGCCGCCAGTTTGCCCGCTGTCCCCCGCTGTGGTTTTTTATCGTGAAAGACGATCCAGCCCGCCGACGACGCCGCCCGCCGCCCGCCGACGCCGGGAAAGGTAAACGGAAGGGAGGAGGTAAGCAAAGATGATTCCTTTTTGCGTGGTTTGTTGAAATTTACGCAGATACTCATTTGGTAAACCCGGTTCGTTGTCAACATTTTCTGGGTGGGGAGTTGGCGATTTCATGTATATGTTGTTGTTGTTGTTTTTGACCGTTCAAGTGAGATTTGTTTTTTGATTATAGGTTCCAGGAAAGAGTGCCAGCAGTGATTATATATCATTGATATTTTATATACTGATTTTGAAATATGTTGCCAACCATTTTAATTTTTTACTGATTTAGAATTTTCCCGCCGCGAGTTTTTTCATGGGAGTCCCGACTGATATGTTCGGATTGGATCGCCCCGCCGCCGTTTTTCCGCTCATGTCAGTGAGTGATTATGTATATTTGTCTCGCCGCCGTTTTTTTCTGCTATGCAGTTCTTTCTTGTGGTAACGGCGTGATCTCCTCATCCTTCTCGCCCTCATTATCCTCCTCCTCCTCCTTCTCCTTGTCCTGATCCTCCTACTCGTCCTCCTCGTCCTCCTACTCCTCCTCCTCCTCCTTGGCCTTCTCCTGCTCCTCCCTCCTCCTTCTCCTCCTCCTTCTTCTCCTGCTCCTTGTTCTTCTCCTCCTCCTCCTCATCATCCTGCTCCTGCTCCTGCTCCTCCTGCTCCTGCTCCTCCTCCTCCTCCTCCACCTCCTCCTCCTCCTCCTCCTCCTCCATCCTCCTCCTCCATCCTCCTCCTCCTTCTCCATCCTCCTCCTCCTCCTCCTCATCCTCCTTCTCCTTCTCCATCCTCCTCCTCCTCCTCCTCCTCCTCCTCCTCCTCCTCCTCCTCCTCCCCCACCAGCTTCGAGAAACCTTCTCAGGAGCCTCGGGGCCCTTGTCAGAAGGCCCCTGCCTTCTCAGGAGTTCCCCCGCCATCCTGAGAGTGCTGCCGCCCCCCTCGCGCAGCGCCTTTTTGCACGCCGCCCACCTGCGCGATCGCGCGGCACTCCGTGGCATCGGCGACACACTTGCACAAACGTGCACCTCAGATCGGTGCTGGGCCCCACTTTCCCGACGCGCGGAGCAGGGGTCGATCGCCGATCCAAGGACTCCGCGCAGAGTTCCGAAAGTCGAACGTTTACGTGGCATCGCTCGGACGTGTGCATCTGTTCTCGGCGAGGGCCAGCGAGGAGCATGTCGGGCCACCTCGCGAAGCAAAAACAGAAACACGAACAGCCGACGAGCGGACGCCCGAGCGATGGCAGCTTCATGAACATTGTCCCACGATTATCCTTCTATTCTTCGGGCGCGCCTTCTCGTGCAGGGAGAGAGAGAGAGAGAGAGAGACAGAGAAAACATAAAAGAGAGAGAGAAGGCTGGGATCGGTGGAGGAGTGATAGGCAGGCGGTCGCAGGGGGAGCAGAGGAGGAGGGGGAGGGGGAGGGGGAGGAGGAGGAGGAGGAGGAGGAGGAGGAGGAGGAGGAGGAGGAGGAGGAGGAGGAAGGAGGAGGAGGAGGAGGAGGAGGAGGAGGGAGGAGGAGGAGGAGGAGGAGGAGGAGGAGGAGGCGGAGGAGGGGAGGCGGAGGCGGAGGAGGAGGAGGAGGAGGAGGAGGAGGGGGAGGGGGAGGAGCAAGGGGGTGGGGACTGGGGAGGGTGAGAGCAGCCAAGGGTCGAGGGGCCACCACTCTGCTCCTGCTGCGCCCCCTCCCGCGCGAGCAGGACGTGGAGGGAGCGAGCCTCAGCGACGCCCACGAGCTGGGCTGATCCGTGGCCTTGCGGCTTTTTTCCCACGCCGAGCTTGTGTAGCTCTCGTGCCGTCTACCATGACGTCTCCTCCTCCCTCTCTTTTTTTTTTCTCTCTCTCTCTCTCTCTTCTCTCTCTCTCGCTCTTGCTCCTTGTTCTCTATCTCTGTCCCTGTCCCTGGTATTCCTTTCCCACGCCGAGCTTGTGTAGCTCTCGTGCCGTCTACCATGACGTCTCCTCCTCTCTCTCTCTCTTCTCTCTCTCGCTCTTGCTCCTGTTCTCCATCTCTGTCCCTGTCCCTGGTATTCCTCTTCCCATGTTGTTCCATGCTGGGGAGGGCGGAAATCCACCCCCAAAACGGGACCCCTGGGATCCGGGGCTCTCGGGCGTCCTGGACGCACTTGGAAGAGCCTCCTCTGGCCCTGCCGGGCCTCCCAGTGCGCCTTGCCAGGCCTTGCCAGCAGACCCAAAGCGATCAGACGGGCGGTGGCAGAAGCAGCAGAAGCCCAAGAGAGCCCCCTAAGAGCGCTCCGAGAGGGACCTCGATGGCCCCAAGACGACCCAGGAGGCCCTCAAGAGGACCCCCAAGAGGCATGCATCGTTCAGTTGCACTTTTGGCATGGCTGTCACTTCTGCCCAGCAGCGTCGAAGACGGCCCAAGCGGTTCCAGAGATCGTTGCAAGACGGCCCAAGGCAGCCCCCAAATGGGCCCAAGAGGCCTCCGAGGCCCGCGAGGGCCACGGGAGACCCCCAAGAGGGTCCGAGATGGCCCCAAGAAGGCCCCCAGAGGGCCGGCGCCCCCCCAGAGGCCCAAAGGGGCCCCAGGACGGCCCAAGAGAGCTCCAGATCGGCCCAAAAGGGCCCCTTGAGAACCCCAGGAAGGCCCTAGAAGCAGCACTCATGGAATCACCGCACAAAGGCACTCCACATCGTGACCTGGTCGTTGAAGGAGCTCGTGGCTCGCAGCGAAAAGGCCCGAGGAAGCCCCCAGAGGCCTTTCAAAGGCGCCCAGCCAGAGATCCCAGCAGCCCTTCGCAGACATTCCTGAGGCTCCCAAGAGGTTCTGCAATGTTTTGCAGCGAGGAGCCTCCACAAAAGACCTGCGGCAGACGGGTAATGGTTCGCAAGGCCATGCGAGAGCGAGGACGACTGTTTTCAAGGCTCCCCATACGGTGCTTGCACCAGGAGGAGGAGGAGGAAGAGGAGGAAGAGGAGGAGGAGGAGGAGGAGGAGGAGGAGGAGGAGGAGGAGGAGAGGAGGAGGAGGAGGAGGACAAGGAGGAGGAGGAGGAGGAGGAGGAGGAGGAGGAGGAGGAGGAGGGGGAGGCCGCTCGCAGACGCCACACCACAGAGCTTGCACCGCAGGGCTCTCCCGTCCCATTAGTTCCACAATATGGCTCGCAACGCAGAGATTGCTCGCAAGCCTCCTACCATGGAGTTTACAGACCACAGATAGCACCACAGAGCTCGCACCTCGTAGCTTACACATCCTAGCTTGCACCACATATCTTCCGCCGCATAGCTTGCACCGAGAAGTTCACACCACATGGCTTACGCAACATGGTTCAGACCACATGGCTTGCATCACAGGGCTTTCAACGTCACAGCTCACTATCTCACTGTTCGGGGCTCCAGTTTGCTAACGTGTGGGCGGATTTCAATCGACTCCCGACCCTTGCAAGTTTGGCACCGATTTCGGCCTCTGGGAGCCGTTGTGGGACCCAGGGGCCCTCACAAAGAGATCTGGGGGGGGGGGCAAACGACCCCTGGCAGGCACCTCTTCCTCCACTACGGTAGGTTCGCGTCGCGTCGACGGGGCGACGACCCCGGCGTGGCCGATCAGAATGAAGGCCGCCAGCAGTCCAGAATCGGTCGACCCTGCCCAAACAAGGGTACCCTTGTGTCCTGTGCTTTGCGACCCATGCCCTCTACGTTCCACTGGCAGTGTGGCCACCGGAAGAGTCTTGTGTCCTCTCGCGTGTCCTCTGCGATCCACCCCGACTGTAGTGAATCGGCCGTCGTTGAACGATCTGCGCTGTGGGAGTGCCGCGATCGTGCCAGGCTGAAGGACGCAGGCGGTGTCAGGAATCGACGCACCGGCCCTCAGAGCACGAGCCAGCACAGGATCGAACTGGAGGAGGTGGAGGAGGAGGAGGAGGAGGAGGAGGCGGAGGAGGAGGAGGAGGAGGAGGAGGAGGAGGAGGAGAGGAGATTCGGGGTTTGGGCTCCAGGTTCGGCGCTCAGTGTTCTTCTGCAGTTTTCCGCTCTCTCGGGGCCTCCAGTGGCGTTCTCGTCGCCACGTGGTCGGGTCCGCTCTGAAATTTCCCGCGCGAGGCGCAGCTCAAGGGAAGGCCAGGTGACGCTCTCTGCGAACGAGACGCCCGCATCTGCAAAGCGAGGAGGAGAGCAAGGACTGAACGAGAGCGAGACGTGAGGGAAGCCGGCCACAAGACAAGGGCCAGAAGGATGGCAGGAAGGGCCAACATTTGCAAGGCTTGAAGGACCAAGGTGCGTGGCTCGACGCGCCAATTCAGTCTGGTATGTGTACATATTCCTCTTCTTATATTTTACTAAGCCCGGGCGGGGGGACCCCCCCAAAAAAAACCGGACTCACGGGATCTGGGGCTTTGGGACCCTCCCGACGGGCCTCGAAGCGGCCCCCCGGGCCTCGCGGGGCGTTTTGCTAAGCCTTCCCAGCACACCTAGGGCGATCAAGGGGGTCATCGCAGACGTCTCAGAGACCCCCAAGACAGCACAAGAGCGCTCCAAGAGTGACCGACGTGACCTCAAGATGGCCCAAGAGGCCTCCAGGACGGCCCCTAAGAGGCCTCCAAGAGCACCCCCAAGAAGGCCCCAAGAGGCAACAACCATGGATTTTCTGTTGTTTTTTGGTGAATTTGGGGGTTCTCCTCTTTTCGGCTTCCCGACGCTCCAAGACGGCGGTCTTTTGGGCGTCCGAAGCCGCCTGGGAGGCTCCAAAATCGCCCCACAACCATCCGAAATGGCTTCCAGGCAGTCACAGCACGGGTCCAAGATGGCCCTCAGAGAGCCCCATGGAGGCCCAAGATGGCCCCAAGACACCCTCCGAAGCATTCCAAATCGTGACCCGGTCGTTCAGGGAGACCGCGGTTGAAGGCAGGGTGGCCCGAGGAAGCCCTCAGAGGCCCCTAGAATACGCCCAGGAGGCCTCCAGAAGGCCTTCAGAAAGCCTGAAACAACTTTTTGTGAGGCCCCCAGAGGCTCTCCCAGGAGGAGCCTCCGCAAAAAAGAGCTGAGGAGGATGATCGAAGGTGGATGACGATGATTCTCAGTGGCGTGTCGTAGGAATACTGGAGATGAAGAAGACCATCACGTTGTTGGGCTCTGACGGGGAGCCGCAACCGCTCGGTGCAGCCGCAACGGTTGCCCGATGGTCCGACACACCGTATTGTCTCTGCACCCCGCCGCGCGGGTGTGACGGCCACCGGTGACTGGAAAGCGATTTCAGCCAGGCAGTATGGGCCCGAAAATTTCACGAGGCACGGCGACGACAGAGATGATGATGATGATGATGATGATGATGATGATGATGATGATGATGATGATGATGATGATGATGATGCTGATGACGAGGATGATTGTCTAGATGAGGATGATGATGCTGACGAAACTGATGATGATGATGATGATGATGATGATGATGATGATGATGGCGAAGATGATGATGATGATGATGATGATGATGATGATGATGATGATGATGATGATGATGATGATGATGATGATGATGATGATGACGATCGCGGTGATAATAATGAGGATGCGGATGATGGTGAAGAGGATGATGAGGAGAAGGGTGTGGATGAGGACGAGGATGAGGGTGATGCTGGTGATGGTGGTGGTGGTGATGCAGATGCTGATGACGATGCTGATCCTGCTGCTGATGATGATAATGGTTGTGGTGGTGCTGGTGATGGTGATGGTAGTGACTAGGAAAGGAGGATGGGGATGTGGATGAAGATGGAGATGAGGATGTGGTGATGGTGATGGTGGTGGTGATGGTGGTGATGACGACGATGATGATGGGGATGATGAGGATGAGGATGGTGAGGATGATGATGATGACGATGGTGCTGAAGATGAGGATGAGGATGAGGATTTGGATGCGGATGGTGATGCAGATGAAGAAAGTGATGATGGTGGTGGATATGATGACGATAAGGAGGGGATGGTGTGTTCTTCCAGTGAGCTCGGCTGCACGGTGACCGATAAGGTACAAACTCGGGCGGCACTTGCCTACACCGCTCAGTCGCCTCGGTTGAGAAACGCGTTCGAGCTTAACTTGCCAGGGGGGGCGTTACTCGTTGTGAAGGTGGGCCACCGCCGCGAAGAACCAAAACAGCTGCTGCCTCCATCCCTCAGAACCCCGCTGCCTCGTGTCGAGATCAAGCTTGCGCTCTGGTTTTCGGATCAGAACTCGGCTTTCTGGCGGCCGTTCGGGACGATCCAGGCACCCCAGGATGGATTCCGGCAAGGCGCAGCCGCTGGAAGGTATCTCGAGGCTGGGAATCCGCCGAGAACTATCGAAAACGCCCGGAGACCTCTGACGAAAACGCCCGAAACCCTCGAACCTCGAAGACGCCCTCCTGCCCGACGCGGCCGCGATGCTGACCGATCCTGCCCTGCTTTTAAGAGCGAATTCCTCGGCGCGCCGGGCGGTCGCAGCGGCCCGCGGCGGAGCCGGGCCGCCCCCGTTTCTCTCTGCGGCGGCGGCGCCCAAGGCACTGGGTGTGCGGAGCCACGCCTCCCACGCCGCCCGAAGAGGCAAGAGTGGCCTGAGCGCGCTGCTTGGACGGGAGGGCGAGGAGGATGGCGATGGCGGTGGCGGTGGCGATGGCGGTGACGATGGCGATGGCGATGACGAACGACCAACGTCAGCGTCAGCTTCAACGTCATGGTCATCGCCATCGTCGAGGAGGGATGGAGGAGGAGGAGGAGGAGCAGGAGCAGGAGCAGGAGCAGGAGGAGGAGGGAGAGTTTGGAGGAGGGGGGGAGGGAGAGAAAGTGGGGAGGAGAGGGGAGAAGTTGGAGGGGTAAGGGGTAGGAGAAGGAGGAGGAGGAGGACGACTACGACGAACAGGAGGAGAGGAGGAGGGCGACGTCGTCGTCGTCATCGTCGTCATCGTCATCTTCATCGTCGTCGACGGCATCGTCGTCATCGTCGTCTTCATCGTCGTCGTCCCTCATCTTCATCGCCATCGTCGTCATCGAAGAACAGAGAAACAGAAGACCGTCTGTCGGATTTCCGCGCGGGTTGTCTGGATCTGCGGCGAAGCCCCCTGACGGCGCCTCCGGCGGCGGAACACGCCAGGGAGGGGGGGGGTCAGCGCCGACGCGTACATCCGACAGAGCATTCCCCGGATCCCAAGGCGGAGCTCTCGAGGTCCACATTCTGAGATGGGCCTCTTTTTTCTGCATGTCCGAAGATAGAAGGGGTTCTTGTTATTATTACGACGCCCCCGACACGCCTCATACCTCCCTCGCCTGCCACGAATCCTCTTCTTCACTTAGAGTCACTCATACTCAGACTCACTCGCACTCAGACCCAGTCCTGCTAAGACTCACTCATACTGAGATTCAGTATTCATTCACACGAAGACTCACTCACATCCTCCTCTTCCCCAGCCAGACTCACTCATACTCAGGCTCAATCGTACTCCGACTCACTCGTGCTCAGTCTTACTTGCAACTCACGTGCTCACGCTCAGACTCACTCGCACTCAGACTCGCTCATGTTCAGACTCACTCGCACTCAGACTCACTCGCGCTGAGAGTCACTCGCACTCAGACTCATTCCAAATCAGCCTCGCTCGCGCGCGGGCGCGCGACGCGCTCGCTCTCAGACCTCGCAGGTTTTGAGAACGTCGCGAGCGAAGCGCTGGCTCCAGCACCCCAAGGGGGAGCCGCCAGGGGTGGCTGCACGCTCCCGTTCGCGGCCAGATTCTGGCGATGCACCGGACGGTTTGCCTGCTTGGTTGCCCAGGCCCCTCTGCTTCCAGAGCAGATCTGTGAGGATGTCTCGAGAGAGGCGCTGGCTCCAGCACCCTGAGATTAAGTCGGGCCTGTCCCTCTACAGGAGGAATATTCAAACATAGTCAAAAAATAGTAGGGGAACGATTTTTCAGCATTCTATCTACCATTTTAGAATATTTGTTGAGTATTTTTTATTTTTCGTCGAAAACCCCCCTGTAGGGGGACACGCCCGACTTAACCCTAAGAGCGAGTCGACAGGGGTAGTTGCAGTTGCGTGGCCCCGTTCGCGGCCACACTGCGGGGATGGCTCGGGCGTCGTCGTTGTTGTCGTCGTCGTCCTTGTCGTCCATCTGGACTCGCTCTCACACCCAGACGCTCACAGCTGGACGCTCACAGCAGGACGTGCCAGGAAAGGAGATGCACATCTGCGGATCTCCGCGCCGAGCAGTGTTTGTGCTGTTTGTTTTTTGTGTTTCTAAACTCACGCAGGGCTCGACCTCCCCCCTCCTCCAGGTTCGGGGTGTTCGGCCGTGCGCGCAGGGTCCCAAGAAGCTCTTCCAGCCCCCGGGACGTGTTCGGGCAGCCGCGGCTCGCCGAGAGCGCTCCGTGGGAATCGTCGCCCCGGGAGGCCGCCGAGGAGCCGCGCTGGGGGCCCGGACCCCGATGCGATCCCGATGCCCCGACGGTCCGGGGTGCGGCCAGAGGCTCCCTCGGCGCTGCTGTGCGTCCAGAGTCAGGCGGCCGATCCGAGTCGATTCCGACTCCACGCCCAGGAGGGGGAGGGGGAGGATCAGGAGGAGGAGGAGGAGGAGGAGGAGGAGGAGGAGGAGGAGGAGGAGGAGGAGGAGGAGGAGGAGGAGGGAGGAGGAGGGAGGAGGGAAGAAGAAGAAGAAGAAGAGGAGAAGGACGTCCCGATGCGGTTCGCTCGACCGATGCGATGCCGGCTGATGCTGCCTCCGTCGCAGTCGCCACGGAGCCGGGGCAGAGCCGACGGGTCCCGGGGGGACACGTGTGCAGGCCGCCCTGCACGCCTGTTCTCCCTCCCGCGTTCCCCCTTGCTCCCTCCCGCTGCTCTGTGTCCCTGGCATGGCTCGGGCGTGTGCATTTTTTGTCCTCGGCGAGGGCCATCGGGGAGCATCCCGGATCATCGGGCCAAGAGAACACGCACGAAATCGAAAAGTGCACGGGGAGTGGACGACCGAGCGATGGCGAGTGCCCCTCCCCCCCCACCCACCCCTCTGCTCCCTCGCCCCCGCCCTCTTCTTCTCTCTCCTGCTGGATCAGGAGGAGGAGGACGAGGAGGAGGAGGAGCAGGAGGTCCGTAGCAATTTGGGCTCAAGTCATTTTGGTTCATGTAAGCCATCTCTCGAGTTGGCTTACAGAGAGCCAAAGTGTGGGCTGTGGGTATGTAGGCACCACGGCCTCGCCCACGCGCCTGCTTGGTGAGCTCCTGGTGGAGCACATGTTGTCTCCACACTGGCGCGAGCCATCCGTTTTGACCAAGACGAGGTCCTTCCTGCTGCAATGGCGGCCCGTGGCCCTCGTGCTGATGACGCTGCTGGTTCTGGCGGTGAGAGCGACCATCGGTCACTCCAGGAGTGATGGAGGTCGCCCTGCCCGCCGCCAAGGACCACGTCGCGCTCGTGAAGATCAGGAACGGCGAACCCCACGTGCTGCCAACAACGTGCCCATGCAGAATCACTCCGGTTTCTTCGGTGCTCACTGCAGTACTGCATGGATGTCGCGCCCCCCCGCCGCCGCCATTTTGAACTGATTCTGGGCAGCGGGCCCGCCGCCAGTTTGCCCGCTGTCTCCCGCTGTGGTTTTTATAGTGAAAGACGATCCAGCCCGCCGACGACGCCGCCCGCCGCCCGCCGACGCCGCCCGCCGCCCGCGGCTCCGTCTCCAACACGGCCCATTTTTTGTTTGCTCGATTCGTTTCGTGCCGCCCTGCTCTGGGAGCTCAAACACGGAAGCAGGAGGAGACAGAAAGAGAATGAGAGAGGTAAACGGAAGGGAGGAGGAAAGCAAACATGATTCCTTTTTGCGTGGTTTGTTGAAATTTACGCAGATATTCATTTGGTAACCCCGGTTCGTTGTCAACATGTTCTGGGTGGGGAGTTGGCGATCATGTATATTTTCTTGTTGTTGTTTTTGACCGTTCAAGTGAGATTTGTTTTTTTGATTATAGGTTCCAGGAAAGAGTGCCAGCAGTGATTATAGATCATTGATATTTTATATACTGATTTGAAACATGTTGCCCTACCATTTTTTATTTTGACTGATTTAGAGTTTTCCCGCCGCGAGTTTTTTCATGGGAGTCCCGACTGATACGTTCGGATCGGATCGCCCCGCCGCCGTTTTTCCGCTCATGTCAGTCAGTGATTATGTATATTTGTCTCGCCGCCGATTTTTTTCTGATATGCAGTTCTTTCTTGTGGTAACGGCGTGATCATGCAGATGCCCGAGTCGCTTCTGGAAGGCATCGACGCAGCGTCCACCTCCCGTCTCAGGAGCACCCTGCCGCCGCCCCGCCCACCGGCTACTCGTTGGCTCAAGCGGCGGCTGCCAGGCGGCGGCCGCTGCTGCTCCTGCTGGTGACAGTGCTGGCTTCCATGTTACCGGCGATGAGCCGTCAGAGTGGCGCTCTTATGTTGATCAGACTCGCAATGACATTCTTCAGTCTGTCTCGACGCTGCAGCTGTCGAGGCGGCCCAGCGCACGCAAGCCCGCGATCTCGCCGCGCTGCGCTCCACGGTGGACCGTTTCAGCGCCGACATTGGCCACACCAGGGATTCAGACCCACAGGAGCACCACATGGAGAGCCCGAACTTCAAGAGGCACATCGACCCCGCGGCGTTGGCCGTAACCTCGCGGGCATTCGTCGCGCTGGACAAGGTACAGTCCATCCTCACCCCGTTGTTGCAGGACTGCAACATGGCCCCTGCTGTTGATTATAAGTGGGAGGCTGATCCTACAGGCAAGCGCTTTGTTATTAGTTTCAAGGGCGCCGCCAACTATGCGAACAGGAAGGTTGGTCAACGCTTGGCTTCCTTCAGACGCTCCGACGGCCGCTGGGAGAACTTCGCCTGCAGGGACATGGGTGACAAGCACACCAATCTGTACACCAGCATGGACAAGAACCCGTTCACCATCGAACGCGAGCTGGCCGTGCGCGCGGCCCGCAGAGTCGTGGAGGAGGCATGCGCAGACACCAAGTTCTTCACCGACAAGGGGAAAGGCGCCCTCAGCTCGAGCTGGCTCCCGTTCCTGCGGATCACTCCCACGGACAACGGCGACAAGCCTGTCGTCGAGTGGAGTGCCGACAAGCTCCGCAAGCTCCAGATGTCGAAGGACAGCCTCGCAACGTTGGTCGAGGATGCGCTGGCTGGTGCATCGGCGGTGCCAACGGAGTGGTCGATTTAACACCTCGCCCTCGTTCCTTGCATGTGCTCGGCGGGGCCGAGAAGGACAGCTCCTGCCTTTCAGAGTCGCCACTTGGGACGCGCGCGCGTTATTCCTGGCACCTCGATCGGGGCGAGAGGGTATTCTGCGAATCAAGAAGATGAGGCATCTTGCGAAGCTACTCGATGGGGCGGTAGTTGGGATGCAAGAGACTCACGGCACCAAGGCGGAGGCTCATGACTTGCTCAAGAGCCTCAACACTAAGGATTGCTTCCGGGCCTCCTCCTTCTGCTGCGGCCAGCCGAGTGCAGGAGGAGTGGCCATTTTCTACCAGTTTCCGCGATGGGGCTCGGAAGGAGCCGCATCGCTCTTTGGAGGCGTTCGGCTTGCTGCGGAGCACCGCGAGCTGGCCCCAGGGAGAGCGCTCAAATCAAAGTTTTATCTCGGCAGTCTACGTGCACTATCGCGCACGATAGCATTCGCAGTTTTGGTTTGAATAGCGCCCAGGTTCTATTGATCCGCCAAGACATAGAAGCGTCGTTGGAAATTGTCAGAGGGGGGCCCAACTTGACACCTTGTCTTCGTCGGATGAGTTTTCAACATCTCCCGCTCGCCCGCGACCGACAGTGCGCGCGAGGCCGCGCTCGTGGATCCCGCTCCTCTTCTTCCACCTGACACCCCCGATTGCCCTTCGATCCGCTCGTCGAGCCAAAGGGCCTCCACTCGGGCCCAGAGCTTGGCCTCTCCCCCCTCACAGATAACAAGCCCCTCTACGGCTTGGGCCCCCACGAGAACCCATGCCACTTCCCCGAGGACCTTGAGTACGGCCCACTTCCCAGTCTACCGGTGCCTGCTACCCAGCTCTAGAGTGCCTCTATGTGAACCCAAATGGCCACTCCCCTTCCCGCGGCCCCGTCGCCCCCCCCCCCCTCCCAGGGCCCAAAGGGAACTCGCCCCCCACCCCCGCCCCCCCGCCCCCCCCACCCCACCCCGGAGGAACCCCAAGTCGTCTCGTGTTCCTTTTGACAGGGCGTGGGGGGATACATTTCAGGGCTGCCTTGAATGCGCCGTCAATGACCCCTCGCACTGCCGCCCTGGGACGGGCGAGCTCAACTGCGTGGGCCGTCTCTTCTCGTCAGCTCATGGGTAGTCTGCCCTGCGCATGTCTGAAGGGGGGGCCGTTCGGGGGGGCCCTGCAGCTTCACGTGCCCAAGGCCTGTCCGACCACGCTGCGGTCGTTCTCGCATCGAAGCCCAGGCGCGGCCTTGCGCCGCGGACGCAAACGGTTCACCCCGAGATATTCAAGCATCCTCAGCACGCTGCCTTCGTCGATTTGGCGACGAAGGTTGACGGCTACAGCCGCCCGCCGCCACCCCTCGTGCAAGAGCATTTCAACATGGCGATGCAGGGGGCTGCCCGTCACGTACGGAATGCGGTGATTTGGCACGAACTATCATGTTTGACGGCGCGCTTCATGGTCGCGAGGAGCATCCCCCGCGTCGTCGCGAGGCGGGACTACACCGGCGCCTGCAAGCTATACCCTTCGCACCCGCTGGCGACCAAGTTTTTGGACCTGGGCCGCGGCTCCAAGACGGTGCACTCGGCGGAGCGTGACCTCTTCCTGCAGCTCTCCAAAACCACGCAGCCGCCTTCGTGAAGCCGAAGCTGATGCTGCCGATGCTGACGCGGCCGTGGGCGGCGTTCCTGACGACGGCGCTGCTCGACGCCGCCAACGGAGTGCAGGGGCCCGCGCTGCCGACCTGAGGGGGGCTCGGCAGGCTGTGGGCCCCCTCCTCCTCCTCCCTCCCTCTCCTTCTCCTCCTCCTCCTCCTCCTCCTCCTCCTCCTCCTCCTCCTCCTCCTCCCCCCTCCTCCTTCTCCTCGTCCTTCTCCTCCTCCTCCTCCGAGCTGTCCGCGACGGAGACGAGATCGCGACGGAGCCGAAGGCCATGGCTGACGTCGCTCGCCGGGCAGCGGGCCCCTGTCTTCGGCCCGAAGGAGGGCGGCGAGATGGCGATCAAGCTCTTCCTCGAGCGCTTCGGACCGAAGAGCTCCTCCTTCCTTCGAGCTCTTCCTCGAGATCTTCCTCTTCCTCGAGCTCAAGCTCTTCGGACCGTGGCGATCAAGCTCTTCCTCGAGGAAGAGCTCGAGGAGATGGCTCCCGCTGCCCACCATCGACCAGCTGGAGCAGCGCCTGGTGGCCCCCCCGCGCAGCGCAGCGGGCCCCGACGGCCTCCCGCACCTGGCCCGGCAGCGGGCGCCGGGAGCGGTGGCCATCTTAGATAGCGCGCTGAGGTGGATTCTCGGCGGCGGCCCGATCTTCGGGGGATCCGACGATTTTCCGCGCGCGTCTGCTCCGAAGGGCGAGGAGGCGGTGGGGGGGGCGGCGCCGGGCGCCATGCGACGAGGGGCGCCACCAATGCCCGCCCACTACGACTTCAGAGCGCCGACAACAAGGTGCTAGTCGGAGTATGCACGGGCGCCCTGGCGAAATCCCCCTGAGCAGGTCTCGCGGCTCCTCGACGGGGCTTCGTCAGAGGGCGAAACTTCGGGGACGACGCTATCGAGCTTGATACTGAAACACGATGCGCGTCGTTGGCTCCATATGCGCAGTCCAAACATCCCGTTCAGGTAACCTGCGATTTCGTCCAGGGTTTCTCCAGTGTGGCCCACAACTGGCTCTCTGCGGTTCTTCGGGCGATGCACCTCCCACCTCCCCTTCTTGCCTTTTCCAGATGATCTACGCGGGTGTTAGATATTTCAGCTTGATCGGAGACTCTCACAACTTCCCCTTCCATGTCCTTGTGGGGATCATGTAAGGGCGCCCTGGAAGCGGGGCCCTCTTCGCCCTGGCCATGGATCCCTTCGCGCGGCAGCTTGTCGATCTGATGGAAGGACATCGCTAGGTTGTGCGCGGGCGATCTTGATATTGTTCTGAGAGCGATCGCGTCACTACATATATGATTCCTCGTCTTTAAGAATGATGCGCGTGCTGCGCGCCTGGTGCTCAAACCCGCCAAATGTTTTCCTCGTCCCCCTTTCTCGCCGATTTCCCGGAGTACGTTAAAACTCGGGTCCAAGGGCGGCTCGACCTTCAGATCCCCGGCTGGAGCTCCTTCCAGATAGCCGCCCACGCAAACTACCAAGGTTTGTGGCTCGCCCCTGATATCACGAATGAGTCTCGGCACGCTCCGAGATGCGCGTGGGATGATCGGTTCCTCTCTCTCTTCGTCGGGCCCCCCTCCTCCATTGCTGCCCGCGTGATCTCTCAGAGAGCGGTGCCTGCTCTCTCGTGTGTCGCCCAGTTCTTACCGCTGGACTTGTGGATGGCAGAGCGTGAACCTGCCATACTGGCCAGTCTATTTATTCAGCCCTATCGGGCCATCCGAGTCCGCGACTGGTGCGCACTGAGGCACTGGGGCGGTCCGAGGATTCCCTCCATCTCGCTCTTCCCTGCTGCCGCCCTCATGCGTGCCTCCCTCGTCACCTTCCGCTCGTGGCCTGCAGCAATGGACCGACTCCAGGCAGCGGGGGCCGAACTCACCTTACAGGAGGTCGACGAAGGCCGGCTTTCCCCGAGGCGGTGGCGATCGCCATCCACTGCGGAGGGTATCTCTTTTGCTGCCTTGGGGGTAGCCCAGGGGCGCGCCTCGCGGGGGGCCCGAGGTCGTCTCCTGGCGGTTTGCGCTGCTCGCGGGGTCGAATGCACTCGTGCCCCAGGGCGCCCGACCCTTGCTCCAGGCCAGGAGAGCCGTGCTGTGAAGTGCCTCCAGCCGCAGAGGATGCCCCATAGCGCCCTGGTCGAGAGCGCGTGCCCAGATGACCTCGCTAGCGTTTTCAGCCGCGGGTTGCGAATGTACGTTCCGCGTTCGATCGAGGGCATCGAGCGAATCTCGCGGGACCTGGTTCGGAGCGCCCTCACGCGGTGTTCCCCCGCCCATGCTGATGCGTGTCTGGAGACTTCAACGGGATGCTGGGTGACGAGCCACAGGTTTCACGACCCTGTCCCTGGTCTGTGCCGTCTCGGATGTCCCGCTGGCACTTCTCTGGGAGGTCGACCATGCAGCGACTCGTTTCTTCACTACTCGCTCTGTCCACACTTCCGACGTCGTGTGTCAGCGATCATAGAAAGCCCCCTCCCTCTTTGCCCTCTTGGGCCTTGGGGTCTCCTCGCCCCTTCCCCTCGTGCCTTCCTTCCTATGATCGTTGGGCATTTCTGAACAACGCCCTCAGAGGCGAATCTAAAGGGCTCACGCGGGAGATCACAACGATCCCCGACCGTGAGATCGTGCCGCTCGTGAAGTGGCAAATCCACCAAGCGCCATCAGCCCTAGAGCCGTCGGCGGAGTCATAGACTGGTGCGCCCCCCTTAGCTACGCTGAAGGAGGAGGAGGAGGAGGAGGAGGAGGAGGAGGAGGAGGAGAAAGAGGAGGAGGAAGAGGAGGAGGAAGAGGAGGGGGAGGAGGAGGCGTGGGGGGGGGAGGAGGAGGAGGAGGGCGGACGAGGAGGAGGCAACCACGACGAGGGGGGTCGCCACGGGAAGGGGGGAGGTCCGGCCGTGCCCAAACAGTCGGTGCCTAGGCATCCTGCGGGCGCCGCGTGGCATCAAGGCATGCTCTCGGCCTGGCGGCGGGACTGCGTCGGGCGCCCAGCCAAAAGGGCAGCGGGGGCCCGGAGGCCGCGGGTAGGGAGAGCCAAGGCCAGGAGAGGCGAAGTCCAGACGGAGTAAGCCCAGGTGGAGACCGAGCACTCCGCAGGGGCTGACTCCGTCTGGACCCACCCTCCCGTCAGGCGAGGCCAAGTCCTGACGGAGTCGACCCAGGTGAAGACCGAGCGCTCCGACGTACTCCGTACCCAGACATGATGGCGTCGTAAAAAAATCAGGACGGGAGGTTTTTCGCTATTTTCGGCCCCGGGGGGCCCTCGCCGGGCCTCGGGACCGTCAAAAAACGAGTCAGGACGAAAAACCGGCCCCGGGGAAAGGGTCTGGACTTCTAG